TAATCACAAATTAATAATCCCTCTGCAAATCTGACAAATACGCCCCCAACCCTAGCTATAGTTCTGAACCGTGGAAGTTACAGTTACTCCTGTTTCTACTATCCAGCCATCCGTCCGTCCAGCGAAAGGCTTCAACATTGGTTAAGGCGTTTTTCCAGTGTTTCCTGCACCAAAGTGACTGTCAGATTCAGAGGGAATAGCTTAGGGGCAGTGTATCCATACGTGGGAGGTGATTTCCCATGCCCACCTGCACCTGCTACAGGCTCCAGAGACATATCCATATTCCTTGAGATGAGCCAGTCAGCAGACGGGTCTACTACGCAGAGTGTGTGTCTGCAGCCACATAGCAAACTGGCCACTTTCTGATCGGGGTTGATTCTTTAATTGTCTCGAAATTTGTATGAATTTAATATTGATTATTTATCCTCCGTCAGGGGACTTAACAACGAATTCCAGAGAGCGCCGTCTTTCCACTGCCACTGAGGCTGGTTTCCTCTGTATTAGTAGAGGTCTCTCTTTGAGAACAAAACTCCTGTGCTTTGGTTGACAATACCGTGCCAGTGGCACAAACTAAGGTCATTAGTATTGAATGGCTGGCCCCGCCGCCTTCCATCCGACCTTCTTTTCTTCCCGCAAATACAATGCTCGGTCATTATAGCTGCTGTGCTGTATTGAACGCATCTTTCAGTCTAACACACAGCTATATATAATGACCGTGAGTTGTATTCGGCAGAAGAAGGTAGAGAGAACGGTTTAACCATATAAGTATATATATATATATATATGCCTCTCTCCCTGGCGTACACAGCTCTTTGAAATTCCCAGTTCAATCCAAACGAGACCAGACCCTAATGTTTTTCTGAGACATTTGCCCAGAGAGTCTAGATACAGCTGGATGCTCTTTTCTTCTACAAATCTCAATGATTTACCATGTGAAGAGGATCCGGGGGCAAGGTCCCACTTGCACAAATTAGGAGATAACAATTTCGGCCGTTGATCTTTGCCATCTACGGTCAGTATCTCTTAATAATTCGTGCAAGTGGGGGACCTAGCCCCCGGTGATCGTCCATTTTTGTGGACCCTTATTTCCTGTTGGGAGGTCTGGGCCTCTATCGCTTTCCATACACAACTTACTTCTCCGAGTTCTCTCTCTCTCTCTCTCTCTTTTTTTTTTTTTTTTTTTTTTTTTTTTTTTTAATAAACCAGGTGTTGCAGGTTTGTATCAGGGGGCGTCTGAGAACATGCCCATCCAGTCCCTTGGAATTTTGCTGCCTTTCAGTTTCTCAAAATTCACTTGAATGTTTTCGGTCCATTTTTCGGAGTCAGTCATAGATTTTGCTAGAGGGGTGTGTTGTGTGGTTGAAAGCGGAATTCTTGGTGTGTGATTTGGACCTCGTTGCTTGCATGCAGAGTACCCAAAGAAACACCAATAGCAGCACCAACAAATTTTTTACATCGTTTTTTTTTGTTTTTTTATTTTTTTTTTGCATTGTTTTTTTTCCCCCCCCCACATTGATCTTCCAAATCGAGGGCTCGAAGTTGGATTGATTTTTTTGTCGCTTGATAAGGAGTTGACTGAATCTAATTAATCCATAAGTGTGTTTCTTTGGATATTCTTTGGATTTTTAAACCATTTTTTCATTTTTTTTGTCGCTTGATAAGTTGATAGTGTAATTCAGGATTCGTAGGTTGCTCGGATTTCTTTTTTTTTTTGGCGGGGGGGGGGG